TCTACAACGCTACCTCACCATTGGGTCCGGTTTCACTCACGGCTTCGCACACATGACGAAGCCCGTGTATTGCCCGTCATCGCAATAACGGCCCTTCTGGGGATTGAGTGCTGGAGTGATTCATCAAAACCTCAGCACGTATCTCATAAGGGGGTAGTGAATGCGGGAAGAAAGATGAAGGGACTCGACCTTACCATATTCGTTCGTCACCTCTCTGTAAACGGTGAAAGGGCCAGTATTCAAATCAGTGCACTACGCCACTCGTTAGCATCTTTTCGCACGTGGACTAGGACCATGCGCTCAGCACTGGCTTACGCAGTAGGTATGGACGCCTGCTTTCTCGCAACTCCCGTCGCCGGCGGTACCTGGAGGCGTTGAATTATTTTCTCGACAGCGATTCTTTTATCCTAGTGCGCACCTTTTGTGTTGCACCAGTGCTTCGGAAGAGGTTTCGCTGCGAAGGTGAAGGGGGCGAAGACGCCGAGGAGCATGAGAGTGGTGCTGCGCATCGTCGGCGAGTTTCTTTATTTGATGTGAGATCGTGAAGGTGCTGAAGGGTGAACGATGATGGTGTAGATTGGAAGAGAAGTGACAATTGAGCTGGAGGTGGGAAAGGATTGTCCACTGTGTGGGTGTCTTTTCCAGATTGAACCCATCGCCACTCATATAGAAATTCTCTCAACCGATTGAATCCATCGGCTGGGGTGATACTTGGCCTTGAAGAACGAAATGACACCCTGTCCCTAGTAGCCTCTGATGCAAACGCACGAACCGCGGCAGTGCATTGAAGTATCGCGGAGATCGACGGGTGTCTCAAGCAAGAAATTACACAGTGCGGAAATTGGTCAGCAGATCGTCTAGTCTCGGGTAAGAGTCGCTCCCAAGCCAGATACGAGATCTCTCAAGGCATGGAGGCTTAGCAAAAGCATCGCCTCATTGAAGGCTCTATATGCAGGAGGTACATAGCATTTGACAACGACAAAAGCACGCATCGCTATCGACTTCCTCGCAAGTCCCTCCTTGCTCTTGCCGCTCCTCCATACACCTAGACAGGCAACTCAACTGAGTAGAACCACCATCACTACCGCATATCGCGCCGTAATGGTATGGACAAACCTAATTTCTGGTAGGGACCAACCCAAATCAGCCTCAAGCCGCGGTCTTGGGCAGATTTCCATTAATAGACCTGATCAATTTGGACTGAAAGAGGGGACGCTCTCTCCGGGGACTACTCGCGTAGACAGCTCTTCCTCGCTCTCTGCCTGCGCTCGTACAGGCTCGCTCTCGCGAGAGGGAAAGGAAAGATCCTAACCGGCTCGCCGCGGAGGCAGGTGCAACTTTGAGCGTCTTAGCTAAGGGCATATATCAATCGCTTGCTGCGGGGGCAGAGGCATACTAGGGGTGGCGTGAGGCTAGTTTAGGATGGTCCCTACCAGAAATCGCGGTGGTCCGTACCATTACGGCATACCACGTACTGTAGTCCCTCACCCTCGCCCTCGCCATCCTCTCAATCCGACGCCGCTTCGGCCTAGCAGAAATGACTGCCGGCAAATCCTCTGCAGCAAAGCGCCCTAAAGTGGCGAAGGCAACATGAGCCTTGACTTCTCCGACGCCTGCACCGCATTGCTGATATTGCTTGAATCCCTTGTGCCTAGGCGAAATATAATTGACTGAGATGGGACTAGCTGGACGGCGCGATTTATGGTTGCTGTAGTCAGGAGGAGGAGTTTGGCTCGAAGCAGACAGGTCCGAAACTTGTAGGCATACAATAGACCAATAGCGCGTGCGATCTCTGTATTTAGCAGGAGCAGGGCATTTTGTACCCTGCGAAACGCGCTTGCCTTACAGTATTTGCAGAATATATTGTTAAATTTGCGACAATACACGCCGCTCTTCGCGAAGAAGGACCCTGAGCGCTTTGATGAATATCTCGACAATGTTACTGCTGGCAAGGCCCGCATTTCGGGTGCGACTCTCCTCCCCTCCACGTTAGTGGGAGAGGTCAGCATCATACCTTTCTTGCACCCTACCTCGCAACGCGGGATGAAGGATAGCCAAGTAAAGGCTAGAGTCGCCAACGGGCAGTGGCAGATCTTGGTTCAACGTATGAAGGAGTCGGGTACTCTAGAGAGCTCAATCGCCGTCTGCGATGTCTATGGTGATACTGCTCCGAAGCCTGTGCAGGCTGACCAGGAGGGTGCGGTGTTGGTCAGTGGGTATAGCCAGGGTCAGATGAAGATGTTTCTGGACAAGGGTCAGTTTGAGGATGCTGAGACGGAGATTGTTACAGTGGAGGGCGTTGATGGTGTCAATGTTAGTAAGAAGAAGCAGGAACCGATGGCTGCGGTGAAGAAGGCGATCAGTCATGACGCTTATCGCATGTTGAGGGTTGTTGATTGAGGTGTTCGGAAGGGTGGTGGCGGCTGTCTTTGGAGAGAGATCATCGGCTCAATGTGGTGTCAACATGGTGCGTCAGAGTCGATGTTGCTCGTTGTCACTAATGATAGATCGGCATGCTAGTAACGAGAAAGGAGATGTGCCACATGGTCAAGTGGTCCTGATGCTAGTTCGTGTGGTGTGCCTTGAGCTTTAAGATAATGCTTGTTTAGTCGACAACTCGCAGCGACTTAGTCGTAGGTACGTGCATCAGAAGTGCTTGTAGCGATGTCTTCCCAGGCGCTCATCTCAGGGTTTATGCCGAGACCTCGGTGCTATCTGTCCATAGCTGTCCAAGTGTAGACAAGATACAGTAGGGCCTACTGCTCAGCATGCTGTTCGAACTTTGGCCCTCCGCTCGGCTTCATCATGATCATCGACGAGTCCGTGGACTTGCTATACCACCACTTACTCCACTCAGAACGACTCCCCTCCCACCATCGCATGCTCATCTCTTGCCAACTCATCAATCCTCTCCGTCACCTCCGCCGGATCACTAAAAACATGCCATAACTTCCTGTCCAATCCCCGAAAAGCCCACTCAAACCTCTCATTCGCATTCTTCCTCTTCTCATCCATTCCCGCTATCCCCACCACCTTCCTGATGAATATCGCCCTGATCCATCCCGGAAATCTTCGAGCCGCCTGCCCATACGCCTCAGGATCTGATTGCATGGAGTCGCCAAAGCAGATATACCGACGGTGTGGGAACCAGGTGTGGATCTTGGCGATGCGGTCGTCTTTGTACTCTTTGGTGTTTTGGGTGAGAGAGGTGATTAGGCCGCCGAGGTTTTGCCATGAGGCGTCGCGGAGGATGATGGTGCCGAGTGGGTAGTGGGCGTCGCGGAAGATGCGGAGGAAGCGGTAGAGGTTGTAGGGTGAAGCGCTGAGGTAGAAGAAGGGCGGATCTGAGAGGACGGATTTGGCGTGGGCGTAGAGTTCTGGCATTCCTGCGATTGGTTCAGGTGTCTCGACAACGAAAGTGTTTTTGAGGATGCCGATCGGATCTATCGTGCGTGTGACTTTGATCGTGTCGTCAATGTCGGAGATGATGCCCCATCCTTTTTCTTCCGCGAAGATAGTCGTGCTGGCTAGACCGAAGGGTGGGGGGAGGTTTATAGCATGGCTCTGGACACTTTGCCCGAGTTGTTCGCGCGCCGGGTCGAAGTGCATCTCAAGCAGCTGAGAGCTGATGCCCGAGTGCGATAAAGGGCCGAGCGTCTGGTGCTCCACATCACCGATCGTGATTCTAAGCGTGCGATTCGGCAGAACAGAGTCGATGAAAGGCTCCAGTCTTGAGGCTATTCGCTTCTTGGTGGCAACATCGTCGTCTGCGACGGCCAGGTGATGCACCAGAGCTGCGTTCACTCCGGCGAGGTCCCGGCCGCTGTTCTTGATGAAGCAGCAGGCCACAAACTCGACTTCCCACCCACTGCCGCCGCGTGTAGGCTGGCCGTCCACGCGTTTGGGTTTGGTGGCGTTGGGGTCAGCCAACTTGGCGAGCTCGGGACGGTTGTCTGAAGGGGAGGGGGTGCGGAAGGCGGTGTTGTCGAAGATCCAGATTTTATGTAGGGCTGGGTCCTGCAAGATGTTAGCAAGTCATGACTTAATGGAAGGTTGCATCAACGCCTATGTTTGTAGGATATAATATGCAGGAGCGACTGCTCCATAATGGTTGAGCTGTCTTGCTCGTCGGTGTAGTGCACTCACAATTGGCTGCGGCTTCGACCAAGGCCAGACGATCGGGAAACGGTCGAAAAGGTTCGGTAGCCATTCTCTGAGGTCGTCGGGCACGTCTGGGCTCCAGTGGGATGACTTTTCGATTGCCTCGCCGTTGAGTGCGTCGACGGCGAGGCGGTGGGTGTGGTCGTAGAATGCGTTGGCCCAGTCCATGGTTGCTTTGCGGGCGGTGTTCTGGAAGTAATAGTTGAGATGGAGTAGATCGGCTGGGACAAGATCTGAGCGAGCTGCTATAGCAATGTCATCATATTGGTCCCTTAAGATACTAGGTCGACCTGAGGATGGCGAGGAGGTGTAAACGACATGTGGCGTATAGCCTTCATGTCCACATAGCCTTCCTGTCCATAAAGAGACAGCCCTCTGTGCACCTTCGGTCCCTCAGTGGCACGTGGCTCAGCGCGTGCGACCCACGATGTACGAGCAATCGCGACTTGAAGGTGGAGAAGGTTGTCAGGGTGGCTGGTCGCGCCGCTTCTTTGCGGGCTGTACGAGCAACAGTCGTCTCAAGTATTAGGTGCATTAGGTCGCAACAATTGGTGTCTATTGCGATGACCGAGGCTTTTGGACGAGGAACGAGATCCCGGTGTGTTGAACGCTTTCAAGGCGTGCGGAGCTACACTTAGTGGAACAGCCCGCTTGACATATATGTGGTATTATGTGCTTGTAGCTAGAACGGGAGGCGCTGAGGTCAACATGATCGGGTTCTCCCCCTTCGATATATAACTTTGGAGAAAGGCCACGTTGATGTTGTTGAAAAATCTGAGGGCAGCAACGCCGGGTTGCCGAAGTGAAGCTTAGAAAGCGCTACTGGGTCCAAAAATGAAAGCTCGCTGGCTGGGTCGAACAACCGACTGTCCCGTTTGTTAGCGAAACTCAAGCGATCCGAAGTTGAGCGCGACATACCCTTAGGATCTGCAATCCCACGCTCTACCACTGAGCTAAGCGAGCTTGTCCACATGGGCTCAACCCACGCGCAATAATCCTAATTGGACGTAAATAATCATTTCTAGATTATTCTATTATTGTGAATCTCTTTGCGATCCGAAAGAGGACGCAGCGTCCATCTGTGTGCTGGATTTGGTCCTTGATCGCAATTAGTTTATGATGTCACAGAAGCCAGCGATCTCGGAAATGCTCGACAGATTGCAGTTGACAAAAGAACTCGATAGCAGTCAACCAGAGCAAGCAGGCCGCTCCTCACATCGATTGGCCCGATCGTTGCTCTGGACTGCCTCCATAAGTCTACCGCGAAGCAGGCGTACATTAAGGACTTTGCATGCGTGGAACAAACGGACAGTCATATACCCGAGGTCCGTCTTCCAGCTACCTTCAACTGATCCGAAATGGCCTCTTCTTATTGCGGCATGGAGCCCTGGATTGCCTGGAAATCGACCCCAGACTGGCGAGGCGCTCGCACGCTTGACGGTCTAATTCATTTCACCGCTTAAATATGCCTTCAATTAGTTGAACATCGGACACTTGTTGGACACTTGGACGATGGAGCGTGGTGCTAGTGTCCGATGTGGTCGACCGCTTGTTGATCCGTTGTTGAAGGTGGCAGAAGTCCACGTCAAGCTTCGATTGGAGGTGAATATTGCTGCCGAGCTCGACTGAGGCGTGTCTCCCCAACCCCAAGGGTCTGCTTCAGGTCGCTCAGCTGCTCTGCCGTGGCTCACCTGCCAGTATGCTCCGGGTGACGCACGTGGGAGGCACGGACCATCCGCCTAATGTCAATGGCCTTCAGCTCTCCATTCACGAAGTCCCCATACTGTGCCTCGAATGCAGTCTTGACCACTTGGCTAAGGAAGATTACTATCTGAGCCGAGCTGCTTGAAAGGACTTTCTATGTCAAGTCAATTTGCTCGGCGAGATTTGGATCGTGCTCGTATGGTTTGGTGCCATACAGACGGTTGCCTTGATCATCCGTGATCTTGTGCCTTCTGCGTAGGTGAGTACAGATCAGCAAGTGATTTCTGAGCCAACGTGGGGCAACAGGCCTTTTGATTAGGTATTGGAAGCAGGCTTGGATGGGCAAACCAGAAAGCGTATGGCGTGTCTCCAGTTCTTGTACGCAGATGAGATCCTTCAAAGGACACCTGTGCATGTGTCAGTAGGTGACCAAATTATAGCACAGATGAATTCTCTACGTACCATAGGCCGATGATGTGAACAGGTAGATCGAGGGATCCGGAAATGCCGACAAAGTATTTGCCTGCATAAACGATAATCTGCACAGTCTTGCGCTCCAGAAATAGGGCAGGCTGCTCGCTTAAAGATCATGCGCAAAATGGCAGGAACGAAAAGGTTGAGACTCTGAGGACATGGACAATTACCCTCGAAGAACGCAGCCAAAGTATCGCAAAGCGACACCAAGTAGGCCTCGTCCGACATCGCAGCGTCAGCCATTGTTGAGAGTGGGTAAGGCGTAAGAGCTTGAGTCTGAGGCGCGTGATAACGATACACCGAAAGTTGGTTTGATGCTCCATACAGTGATGTATCAAAATGCTTTGACGTTGATGCTCCGGCTGACATGAGGTTGGCGGGTCGCTAGATGGCGAGGGTGCCTTGGTCGCAGTCGCAGGTGTTGAGTCTGTTAACGTCTCGAGGTGCTAGGATATCTGATATGGTCAGGTCTCAAATGACGAGGGAATGAATAAGCTTATTTGCTCCCGTGTGGTGAGTAGCAGGGGAAACGTGTAGGTACAACGATCAAAATCATCGACACTTACATAGTCGCTCGAAGTCTAGCAAGGCAGTCGTCGATCATGACTTGGTGCTGGTGCATTTCATCCCAGTACTGTGAAAGGGCCTGACAGAATATTGAACACTGTCTATGTTGTTACGTCTACGAGCTGTACTGGATGACAAGATGCACTTATCGCGCCTCGTCTTCCAGATCTGGAGCTGTGCCCCGCTTAGCGATGATACTACGTACGTATGTGTAAAGGTGTTATACCTAGAGCTATAGTAGATAACAAAGTGCACTTATCGCGCCTCATCTTCTGAACCCGGAGCTGTGACACGCCTGGAGATGCTACCACATTAGTATATATGAAAGTGTTATAGCGCCCTTCCAGTCAGCATTTTGCTCAAATCCATTACTTTGAAGCGGCTTTGGCCCCAACCATTTGCCATCCAGACTTCTCACTTAGACCTGTGACTGGGAAGGTCTTCCGCATCGCCATGTTTGGAGACTTGCGATGAGTACGCTATCTCATTTTGGCGCAGCCGGCTCAGACCTGAGCGGAATGGTTTCTGTTCGCCTGCATGTAATATTACATGTCAACGAGCAGTCCGTCAATTACGATCGATCGAATTGGCGCCTCCTGGCTCGGACTCCTAGCGGCTCCTACTTGTCTTTTTCCGTTCGGCATGATTACGACAAAGGTTAGAAATCGGCTCAAATTAGCGCCTCCTCTCGGACCTGGATACTTTGTCTATTCGAAATGGTCACGACAAAGGTTACATTAAACCCTGAGATTGACGTTGAATTCAAAAGCAAGAACTGCGTGTCCCGATTCGAGCGATCAAGCTTTGAGTGGCCGAGATAGTTGTGCCAATACGTCCTCTGTATTGTACGTCGTTTTGACTCAATAATCACTGGTGCGTGGTTGGCTTGTGTAAATGAGTAGCTGGTGCTGAGAGTTGATCTCGCCTCGCATTGATGGTTATGGTTGACTTGCGTTGGTGGTTGACGTGTGTTGATGCGGTTGACGTGCTTTCATGTAGTTGACGTGCTTTGATGTGGTTGACCTGCGGTGATGGTGGACTTGCGTTGATGGTGACTTGCGTTAGTAGGCATTCACTCAAAAATGGCTGATGTGAGTCCCTTCGACTCACCTAACCACTGAGGGTGCCTCTCGAAATAGATCAGGAACTCAACTCATGCACTGACACCACACTCATCAACACGAATCTGCTTGCTGCGCTCTGTACGATAGCTACCTTACTGTCGTCTTCACAAACACACTAGCAGCGCTGTGCTAGTCGGCTGCTCATCATACCATGAATCCAAAAGATTACACCAAGTACCTCTCCACGAAATCCTTATGTCCCATCGAATCAAATCGACGCCGCTGCTCAAATGCCAACCAGTCGTAGCCCGTTTCCTGCACTAGGATCACTTGGGCTCCATGACCGCCATGCTGAGTATTGAAATACGACGTCTACAAGAAGAGGGCAGCGAAAGCACCGGCACCAGCGACGAAGCCAGCAACGTTGTGCGATGCAGCGCCGGTGTAGACGGCGCCAGTGGAGGTGGCCTTGGCGCCAGTGCCCGAGGCGTAGCCAGAGGCTGGGGCGGTACCAGATCTGGATATTAATTAGCATACGGCAATAAGAAGTCGTGCTGCGGGACAACACTTACGGTGCAACGACGGCGCTTGCAGAGCCAGTCGGGTAAGGAGCAGCGCTACCAGCCGGCGAGGTGTATGGGAGAGCAGTGCCGGAGCTGGCTGGGACAGCCGGGACGGGCTGCAAGCTGGAAGAGGCGGTGACAGCGGCAACTGGCGATGAAGAGCTCGGGCTGGCCTCGGAGGACTCGACCGGGGCAGAGCTGGCAACGGACTGAGAGGTCGAAAGGACTGGCGCGCTGGTGGTGATTGGTGCGGAAGATACAACGACGGAAGACGAAGACGACGCCGAGGACGCAGACGAGGACTCAGACGAGGTGTAAGCTGAGTAAGCTGGGGTGGTCGAGGCCTCAGCATAGGTCGACGTCGAGGTCTCCACAGAAGTGGTCTTGCGGGCAGGGCAGTTGGTGATGTCGGAAGCGCACGAGGTGATGGTGTCGATCTCAGTTTCGTAGACAGTCTCGGTTTGGGCGGGAGCTGCGATAGCAAGGCCGGCGAAGGCGGCGATGGCGATGAAGGAACGCATCTTGATGATTATCGGTGAGTTTTGGGTTAGGTGTGGAAGTGGATTCCGGTATTCGAAGCGTGCGATTTTATAAATTCGGTATTAATGAGTGTGGCTTTGTTCTTTGTTGCGGTGAAAGATTGGACGACCGAAGTCAAATATTACTGCACTGTTTGTCAGGTTGTACGCAGAAAGAGAAGGCGATGAAACAGCGAGCAGGCGCTTATATTCATATGCTGGCCATCCCCTACTCTTGTGGAGTATCCGCGCCGTTTGCAGCAAGAGATTGCGCTGGCGTTAGACCGTTCGCTATGGCCAGACACCAGTGGATGCACGGTGAGATTAAAGGTCCAGGGGTTCCCAATCAGGCTCGTGGACCTGTCGATCGATGTCGCATGGCCGAAGATTCGGTTACACAGGCGGCTGACAGACATCGGACAAGTTTTCTTGGTGTCGCCTGCAATATGAAATGTGATCCTTGTATCGTGACAGCCAAGCGCGTCCCTGGATTGCTCAGTATGTAAGTACACCAGAAGCGTGCAAACATGCCGTCCGACAGACTGGGACTCTTCTTCCGAATGGTCAAAAGCTAAGATGCGGGATGGCGCATCCCGAGGTCTAAAAAAGCTTAGTTGCGCTTAGAGGATGCTTGGATACTTCTTTTCGCTGCCCTGAAACAACCACATCGCGAAGGATGGCCTATCAGCAGTGATGACGACGCTGGCCTGAACGCGTACGTGTCGAAGATCAATATTCAAACGGTGGAAACGAGTTTGTGCCGTGCGGACTTTGCCAGGAAGGAATAGCCTGTTCCACGTCAATATCGTCTTGCCTTCTTCCTGGTAGGTCACTCGATGCCACCTGCACCCTCTCTCTACTGCCATCACTGATATCGAATCTAGATCGGTCTTCGTGAGCGCGAGATGGAACAGATCAATTCCCTGCGTCAGCAACTTGCTGCTGCTGAGTTTCTCGTCGCTTCTTTGCGTTCCCAGCTTGCGCGCGCTGAAGCACAGTATCATCACTATCACAGCGGCAGAGGAACTCGGAGCGGCACCGACGTGGCCTTGACCCAAGCCCATTCTACCCAA